CTGGAAGTCTACTAGCTGTGACAACCAGAACTTTGATTTACAACTGCAGCATTCCATAGTACCAACAGGTTCAGTGGGACCCATGAGTGACCAACACCAGACAGCATCAGCAGTGCGCAGATGTCTCCGAGTGTGAAATGTTTCACTACTGGTAGGAATGCCTTCGCCCATGGCAGGAAGGATGGAGACGCCTGGGATCAGCCCTGACACAGTGCTCCTACTTTTCTCAACCCCTTTGGCACATGCAGTTGTAGCAATCTCCTGTGATACTTCCATGGTGGTCCCACAGGAGGAGGTAACATGATTGAAGAGTTTGGTTTTGTCCCACTGGACTGCACAGGAAAATTAAACTGCAAATTTCCTCTGGAGTTCCCTTTTTATTTTTTTTCTAAAAAGCAAGTATAAAAATATACCAGAAGAGATACAGTGCAAAGAACAAACAAACATTCCCATGTATGCCTCAACATCACAGCAAAAGAATATAATAAATAAAAATAATAATAAAATAATAATTTATGAAAGATAGCTCACATCTACACTTGTGTGCAGTGCCACTTAGTTTTACTGTGAGGTGCAGCACTGTCACACTGCAGTCCTTCTCACTGTTTTGGAGCGACCTATTGCTGACTGCAGTGTCAGTCTACAGGGGTCAGCCAACGTAGAAAAGGTCTTTTACAATCACATCACCATTCCTGAGCCTGCCACCATCCCTCTGTGAAATTTCTGCTATCAATATACCAGGTTGAATAAACTCTGGAAAAAGCCCTTTAGGCTGCAATTTCCTGACACCTTAGTAGTTTTCACTGGCATATGATAATGCATATATTTCCAGAACTTCTTGTTTGGAGCAGCAGAAATAGAAGATTTCCAGGTAATGACTGGTAAAATCCGAAGAGCTTTTTTCACTAGTGGAGGCAAAGTTTCTGGCTCTTGGAAAGCCTGGAACTTTATTAATACCAGTTTGATCTTTTTGTCTTCCAACGCACAGTTCACCGCTGCCTGCAGTTCAAAGATGCTTGGTCCATTGAGGTAGGCTGGGCTCAAAATAATTATTGCTCGTCTGCTTTGTTTGATAGCTGTAACAACTTCATCTGTATATGCTAGAGAAGAAATGATGAATGTTACTGCATTCTGTAATGGACTTTTTATCTTATCAGGTCCTTTATCAACAGCTAAAACCCAGAAACAAGGAAAACCAGAAATAGGGATGTTGAGTAATCGCATAACCTCTAGAAATACGTTTGCTATCAGAGGGTACCGCAGCTGTTCTTATGCAGCCTGGAGAACACAACTTGCTGCTGATGAGGTAGAGGGCACAGCTGAGACCTCAGCATACTTTGTTGCTACTCAGAGTCTCAAGGGACACTTGGACTTGTCTTCGTCTCTCCCAGGGGCAGGCACTAAGGGCTTTCTAATTGCTGCAAGTAGCACTGACTAAAGTTGCTCAGAAGGTAGCTACTTATATATTTGGGGTCTTCTTTTCAGGGAATGAAGTCTGCTTGCAAAGGACTTCTTGAACAAGAAGCTTTGTCTCAGCCTAGTAGCTTCCCCGCAATCACACTCAGATGTACATGTGCCTCAGGTGTAGGGACCAGATATAAAGATCAAAACATGACAAGATTCGAGCAGAAACTCCAGTACCAAAATATACTCTTTGCTGATCTGGTGCATAAGGTTTTTTGAAAAGTGAAAACCAATTTTATAAAGAACTGAAAATTTTCTACCATTAGCAGGGACCTTACCTCCTCCTGGAAGAATATCTCTTTCAAGAATGCATAACTTGTATCCATATTTATTTTCCAGCATGTCTGGAAGGAGCTCCAGGGCAAATTTTTCCTCACTAATTAAAGTAGAGTCACTTTCAGAAGAGTCTAGCTTTGCATAGGACACAAAGGCATCAAATTCTTTGCCATCTAAAACAAATAAATAAGTAAAACTGTATATATTAATAAATCTGTCTGAAGCATTCAGTTTCTTTCTTAATGCTCAGTTACCATTTATATCTATTTAAGTAGGCACAACATAAACCTAACATTATCACCTGTTCATGAAGTACAGCCATCCACTTACCCAAAGCCAATCCTTACTCCTCACTGTCTTCTTGTAAATTTTGTAGACGTACACTACCAAAGGAAATGAGGAAGCTATAGATGACTAGTGCAAGGCAGTTTAAGTCAGGCATTTTTCTGCATTTTCACCAATATGTGACAGTTTTCACCAGTGGAAAATCTGGCCCCTTCCAGGTGAAATCCATGTTGTAGGGAATGATTCCCAATTTTTTCTATTTGCCCCAACACTGATGAAAAAATGCCCATCAATGCAAAACCTACTTTGAAAATATACTGAATTTTAAAGGAATAATGTTCCTGAATATTAGATGCTTGCAAAAGATGTGCTACTTTCATACACTGTTAATTTTTCTAACCAGAGAGACTGATGCAAGTATCAAAACCTAAGTCTGACGAAAGTATCAGCTCAGACACTGGGTACTGACTAGTTCCTGAACTTTGTTTGAGTCTCATTGAAAGAGACTCATTGTGAGGTGCAGATGAAAAATACATAAAGAACTTTTGTCGGCTTTGAAAAAAGCTAGTACTAATGACCTGAGTTAGACCCATTCTTAACTGCAAGGCAAAAGCATGTCTTATCTATTTGCTAAATAAGATTTGAACTTCACTGGAGGGAGGAAGAAGGAAAAGAAAAAGAATTGCTGGTGAAAGCAAATGGCACAGTGGACTCAATCTAGTTCCTCGTATGCAGATGCGTGATGCCATTTAAGGTGTCCTGAAGTTAATGGGACCGCCACATTTGATGCGGCAACTATTGGAGACTCAAGTCTTTTGGGGAACAGCAGGACACACTCAGGCAGCACAAATGATGTCAGATACCTATGTTCAATCAGCTGATTTGTACCATATGTCAATAAAGCCAACAGAAACCAGAGAGAAATTCAGCTGTATAGTGCAGGGTTCTACTGCAGAGTGTTGCTGCAGGGCAAGCTGAGAAACTCTTTAGGTTTCATCTTACTGACTACATCTTCACTGCATGGGAACAGAGACATCTATCTCCAGCACAGACATCTAAGTAATAGTGTTGAGTACCACTCCACGCCCCACTGTTAACCTCCTGATTTCTA